CTCTCCTGCAGAGCCTCCTCGGCGCCGCGCGCCATGTGCTGCCGAGAGACGGGCCCGGGCCCGGAGCGGCTCTGGCGCCAGGAGCCGGGCAGCAGAGCAGGCCCCAGAGCGCGGGCAGAGAGGGGAGACAGGGGCCTCCCGAAAGGTCTCCTTGCGGGAAAAGGAGACCGACTTAGTGGAAAGTGACCGAGCAGCCCCTCGGCTGCCTTCCACAGGGGCCTTCCCCTCCGTTCCCCCCGGGCACGGTGCCCCTCTTTCCAGGAGAAATCTGCCTTCCACACGGCTCCCGCCCAGCCAGCGGGACTCGGCTGGCACAGGGTGCCCGCAGCACAGGGTGCCCGCAGGAGGCGCTCGGGAAGGAGGAAGTGGCTGGGAGCCCTCAGTGGTGCCGAGGGCCCCAGTGCACTCACTGGAGCCTGGACGAAATGCACTGGCTGCTGAAGTGCAGTGAGTTTGTGGCTGTTTGTCCCACAGTGATAACATTAGTCTCCGGGCCTGCACCACAACCAGCGCCTGAGGAGGACAGTAAACACCCTGAAAGGGGGAAAACCTTTGAATTGTAGGATGTTCATCATGTTGTGCTGGCTTCTTGAGCTAAGCCTCAGTCTCCTCAGATCATGTAACAACTGACTGTTTACCCTTAGTGTGAGGACTCAGTAACAGGCAGTGCAGGCAGGGAACTTCTGGTGCATATGAAGCACTCATTCTTGGCACTTTAAAGATCTGTCAGGGGAGACAGATCCTACCTGTGGTAAGAAAACTTCAGCAGTGGGAAGTAAATTCTGGAGGTCAACTCTTCCAAACCCCTGCTCAGACAGGGCCACTTAAGAGTCAGTTGCTCAGGACCATATGCAGACGGCTTTTGAAAATCCTCAGGATGAAGATAGTGCAAACTATTCTAGTGGTTTTTCAGCCACACAGAAAAAAAATGTTTTTCCTGATATTCAATAAGGACCCTCCTGTATTTCAGTCCCAGTCTGAAGAACGGACATCTGCTCCATTGTGGACCTCTCTGGGCTGTGGGGGCACAAACTGTGTCACCATGTTCTTCTGCAAGGTTCAAGAATCTCTTCCAGCACCTGAATTGCCTTCTCCCCCTCCTTCTTCTTGATGTCAGCTTGTCTTTCTCAGCTGCTGTTGGATGTTTGGGGTTTTCTTCCCTCTGTTGATTATGTTATCAGAGGGGCATTGCTACCATTGCTGCTCAGCTCAGCTATGGTCAGCAGTGAGTCCATCTTGGAGCCAAGTGGAAGCGGCTATCTCTGACATTGGGGAAGTTTCTGAAAGCTTACAGAAGCCAAGCCTATAGCCCCTCTGCTACCCAACTGATACAGGAGCCCAGAATTTGACACAGCAGTCCACGTGTGTCCTCACCAGTGCTAAGCAGAGGCCAATGATCTTCTCCCTTATCTTGTCTTCAGTACTTTGCGTAACGCAGCTGGGCGTTTCTGTAGCAAAATACAACTTAGCTTCTTTCAAGGGGGAAAATTCAGGGTGGGCCCTGTTGTGCATATATACATGCATATCAATCGTTTAAACATGAGAGTGTTTCCTTAGCACATAGATTTCTCAGGTTATAAGGCATCCAGCTATAGCAAGGTTAAGTTTAAATATTTGGTGGTTTGAAGATGGTTCTGTTGAGCATATCTGGCTATCCTAGAACAAGTTAGAGAGAGCAACTTTAAAAATAACTTTATAATTTTTTTTGTGTTGTTTCCAGGCAAGTATACGTGTATACATGTATGTAAAGGTTGCTAGTTATTTCCTCTGTCCTGTAGGTCAGGAACTTATTTTTGTTATATCTGCACAGAACTTCCTGGATTTTTCTTTTTAATGTTTTAGCATTCTGTGTAACAGCTCATTATATTCATGGCATGTAAAATACATGCAATTTATTTATATTTTAAAGCAAATTTCTGTTTCTAGAGTAAAGTCTTAATAGAAATATTTTAACTTTGTCATACACACCTTGCACTGACAACTTTCAGACACCTTTCTTTTTATTGTGCTGTCTCAGCTTAGGTGGTAGTTGTATAATATTTTTTTGTGTGCACCGTCTCTTAAGTGAAAACTATGCAAATGCTGAATTGTTTCTGTTGATATAAAATATGGCGCATTCCAAAGTTCAAAACTAACACATTCTTAAAGGTTTGTGTTAGGTAGCAGTAAGGTCCAGGTAGTCTTCTGTGGTGTAGAAAACTTTTGTCCAGAAGCTTGAGTATCTTGGGGAAGTGTGAGGAGAGATGGAAAGGGAAAGAAGAAAAAAACAGCAATTCTTGTAAATATCCAGGTAAGGATACTGTTGTGGCTTCCCCTTATTCTAGGAGATACATGATCTCTCTTCTAGTAAACAAATTGAAAGAAGGGAAGAATATTTAATAGTATTTTGTTAAGTGTGATGTGTGATAACTGTGCAGTTTGTCCCTGTTTGTTCCAGATTTGTGTAATTTGTACTTCATATAGGAAATTTCTGTCTTGTCTGGAGTGTTTAAACACTGTAGTTGAAAAAAGTAGTAAATATGATTGTCTGCTTCATTGATTACTAAGCAGCCCTGACATTTCAAATGCAAGTAGACCATTGTGCTTATTTGCATTTCTCTTATGAAAATGTAGTGGATACAGCAGAAACTGGAACAAAATCTGTACATTTTTCAACTCCTGTAAGTATGGCCACTGATTTTATTTTATATTTGGTGTGAGTTAAACTACATTTTTTTTGTCCTGCCTTCTCTAAGCAGTTCAGGTAGTTAGTGTCCCCAAAAATGGAGAATCACTTGGGAACATACCAGAGTTGGCCATTTTAGCTGACTAAATATTTTAATTATGGTTGTAGAGTTCTGTGGCTTTTTGGGTTTTTTCTTAAAATGAAGACAAAATAAATATTTGGTAGGTGGGCAGTATTGTTCACATAGAAGTAACACAATATGACATAGCAAATCAATGTTGAGTCACTTGTAGTGAAGGTAAATCTTGCAGTAGCTTGGCACATTTTTTTTACTTGGTACCAGGAACTTGAACTACAATCCACAGAATTAAAGGAGAGCTTCTCTTTAACAGAAGTAAAAAGTCAGCACTTGCCTAAGCATGATGTAGCCATGTGTGATGGCTAGCATGATGTGTGATACCTGTCAATTCTAAAATACTGAATTTAAATATAATAGCTGCATTGGCATACGTACTGTGAACAGTAACACTTCAGCAAAGTTGTTTAAAACACATAAGTAATTATATGGGGTCTGACAGGCAAGTTTTCTTTTGCAGTCAAGGAACTTGCCTTACAATGATTGATAGTTTTTGCTTACTTTGTTGAACTGTAGGAGAACTGCTGGTAATATTTGTCTTTCTATATGCTAAACGAGGGAGTAGTTGAGAGGAGCTCAGGCCTTCAACTCTTCATGCTACAGTTGTCCTCCTAAAGTTACAAAAAAAAGTCACAAACATACTGATTTATTTTTTAGGTAAGGTAAGAAATATTTGCTTTGAAATTGTAGACAGACTTGGAATATTATATCTATAACAAACTTCTTTGCAAACTTCTATAAAACTTCCTTTTACTGAAGGGCAGTACATGCTGGTTTATACAGTGCAAGTTCCACATGTTGGCATCAGGATGCTCTCTTTCCGTGTAAAAAGAAACCAGCACAGTAGCACCAATTTAAGTTTTACAAAGTGAGAAAGACTCACAGTATAGGATGAAGCCTTATGGAGCAAAAGCTATAATAAAAGCTGTAGAAGGAATCAAATAGTTTTTTTCAGTAAGGATAATAAGTCTACTGCTGTAATGCTGCAAGGATGCGAGCAGTGAAAGAACAAATAATTTTTGTGTCTCTTAGCTGGAGATAGGGAGGTATCATGCTGTCCAAGCCAGGCAAATAATAATGTTGTGTATGCTGAAGTTCATTCTTAGTAAGGCAAAGTTATGTGGACTAAGAAGTATGCTAAGCTATTTCTTATACCTGAGCAACCATTTGAATTAAATCTTACTATTTCCATTTGTCAAATGGTGGAAGAATTTGCTTCTTATTTCTGTTTTTATCTGAGAGCTTTCTTTTTGTCTCTCGCTTGTGAATATGATGTACAGATCCAAGCTCATTCTTAATAGGAAATTTTATTACCTCAAAAACCTACATCTTTTTTCTTATGTATAGTGTTTTAAACTTCATCTTCCAGTCTGCTTGCATTGTTTTTGGGTCGCACTATTCTTTTGTGTACAACCACACTGGATCAGATGCAGACTGTTGAATCTGGAGCCATATTGTCAATAAGTTGTTGATTTGAGTCCATTCTTTTTGTAACCAATTTGAGAATTGCTGCATCCAGTCAGTATGGTTTTTTTTTCACTTTTCTGTACAGGCATCTTAAATGTAAGAGAACCTATCTGTAAGAAACTAAAAGCATTCCAGTTTTCCAATAAAAATCTCTGCTCTTTTGATGCCTGGAAGATACCAGTAGGTAAGCAAGAATGTCTAGTAAATCTGAATATAGGATAGTAATTTGGTAACTACTGATTTACTTGTTTTTTCCTCCAAGATGTTAGATGGGTTAAGAAGAGATAAATGAGTTATGGGAAGAAGGTTTGTTTTTCTTTAGGTTGAATTAAGAAGTCTTAAGCGTTTTGCTTAAGACTGTTTCGTTGTTTTTTTAATCAAGGTTTCGGGTGTCTTAGAAAAACTACTGGTTTACTGATTCATTTGAGAATTATAGTCACTGTGCTACAGCATAAGCATCATCTTTAGCATGTAGAACACAAGTCATCTGGAAACTGGCTGCTTCTAAGATTGAGTATGTGGGGAGATTATCTCAGAGAAATGCTGGTAATGCAATAATCATATTTACCACTAAAAATACTTGGATGTTTCTGAAGTTATAAAGGTATGCCATGAAATTCAGGAGGCAAGCAATTTACTTGTCAATCTTTCTTCAGGAAAATATATGAAATTATATGTATATAAGCTTCTTCTATTAAGGTATTAAGGTTGAACAGATCCCTTCTGGTCTTCTGGTCTGCCTTTCACATCAAATCATCAAATAGATTTGTGCTTTTTTGTTTTGATTTTTTGTTTGTTTGTTTGTTTGGTTTGTTTTTTCCTTTTTCTTTTTTTTTCCCCCCTCCATGGAGTCCAAAGATGGATAGAGCATTTCATGTGGAGTCTATAGTCTGCAGCTGAGGCACTTACCTGTTACGGTCAAGTCAGCTGTTGGTTCTCTTTACTGCAAGGATATATCAATCTACAGTTCCCGGTTGTGTCTATGTAGCAATGTCAACACTTTATACATATTACAGTGTGTTGTTGTTTAGGGAGATCAGAAAGACTTATCTGAAGCAAGTTAAAGTCAGACATTATTAAAACTGTCAGCACAAAATAAAGCATATGAGAATATTTTTTATATGCTGGGATTTGTACCTTTTAAAAATCACAGATATAAATTAAAATACACTCCACTGTGTGTTCTTTAAACAATTTAGTCCATGCAGATCTCTTTGCAATATAAAATAAAGTTGTATCTTAAGATTAATTTTCTACTATAACAAGTGCTGTTAACGGAGGAACAGTCTTAAGTAGTCTTAGGAAGAGAGAGGAATGTTGTCCGTTGATAAACAAAATATATCAGATTATGGTTTAAGAACAAACAAGCCTTCTGATAAGTCAGGAATACTAAGCTACCAATTTGTGGTTGGTCTAGGACCTGAAATTATTCAAAATGATACATTTTTTAAAATTTTTCCACTGTAAGTTCCATATTTTCAGGCTCCACATGTTCATGTGAATTATTTGATCAATTTCTAGGTCTGAAAGTTTAAGTTCTTGAAATAACTTTAGAATTTTTTTTTCAGTTTAGGGAGTTCAGAGGATACATCTGCCTGGTGTTGTGCAGACCATGATGAGCAAGCTATGTCAGTGTTCAGTGCTGACTGAAGCTTCAAGGCAGAATTAATTACTGTGGTGCTAAGGGAGAGTTTGCCTGCTCTGCCCAGAGCATTCTGCATAATTCGTGACTGAATGTGATCAGTAAAGAAGCTTTGCACTGATATGTTCACAAAACTTGGTTCATTCATTATGGCTTCATTATCAGTGCTTCTGACTGAATGCAGAAGCACTGCATTTTATTCTTTGGAATATTTTTTTTGTTTAAGTATGGTTGAAATTCATCTAGCACCTAAACCCCACACAGTCACTTCCTCATCAACAGGATAAGGGAGAGAATCAGAAGGGTTATCCCTGTAGTCAGTTGGAGTTAGCTGTCCTGGCTGTGTCCCCTCCCACACAAAATACTGTACTTCTTGCACACCCCCAGCCTACTCACTAGTGGGGTGGTACAAGAAGCATAAAAGGCCTTGGTTCTGTGCAAATGCTGTTCAGCAATAAGAAAAATATCTCTGTGTCATTAACCCTGTGTTCAACATAAATTTAAAACCCAAATTGATACCAGCCATGGTGAAGAAAATTAACTCTACCTCAGCTAAATCCAGTGCATTCCAGCCCTTATTTCCTGTCATTTGTATCATGCTCAGATCCCATACTACTCAGTAAGACCTCATTAACCACTGCCCCCTTTGCATTGTTTGATACAATACACAGATAGCATTCCTTTAGTCTGAGAACCACCTCAGGAAAATGTTCATAAAATGTCCACAAAACATCCATTGGGTTTATTTAGTCCATGACTTTGGTCTCCATCTGTTCTGGTGGTCACTTGGAACAGGTGTGTTCCACGGAGTAACTGGGCACCAAAGCCAGCTCAGTTCAGGTCACTGCTGCACTGAAACTTCTTCTTGCAAGGCTTCTCCTCCATTACTCTCATGGTAATTCCTGTAAGATGCAAGTCAAATCATAGCTTACGGCAACAGTTTAAAGGTATATCTATTACAAACTCTGTCTCTCATCCTTTTGGGCCATGTTTTATGGTTTAACATTGCAGTGTTAACTCCTTCACTTGTTCCTACCCTGCTTGGCAGCAAGGGGCTCCTGCTGTGGTCCACCATTGACCTCCATGGGCTGCAGAGAGACAGTGTGCCTCACCATGGTCTTCACTGAAACAGGGTGCTGGGGAATCTCTTGCTTCCCCACCATCATGGGGTACCACCCGACAGTTCTCCACAAACTTTTTCAGTGTGGGTCCTTGTCCAGGCTGCAGCTCTTCATGACCTGCCCTGAGTCAGTTTCACAAGGTGCAGTCCTTCAGAAACAGCATGCTCCAGTATCAGTCCCTCATAGGGTCACAAGTCCTGCCAGCAAACCTGCTACAGGGTGGACTCCTGTCTCCATGCATCCACAGATGCTGGGAATCTGCTCCAGCATGAGCCTATCACAGGGTCACAGCTGCTTTCAGTTACTCCACCATGGGGTCCTCCATGGTCTGCAACTGGATACCTGCTCCTGCATAGACTCATCCTTCTACTCAAGTCCACACTGGTGTTCCAGCCTGTCCAGTACAGCAGCACAGAAAACTGCAGCAACACCCTGGACACCTGCCAGCCCAGGCACTTTTCCATGGCTGTTTTTGAAATGCTCTTGGGCACAACGTAGTGAGGTGATCAGCAGCACAGCACTGCAGGGAGCAGCAAAGGCAACAAATGGCTACTAATGAGCACTAGACTCTAATACTCAGTCAGGCAAGCAAGCCCCATGGCAAGCACGGGAGCCTGCTCATTACTAGCTAAATGGCATTTGCTATAAATTTGATCTAGTACATTTGAGTCAAATCTGTTGTTATCTTGAACCCTTTGTGCTTTGCATAGGCTGCCAAAAAGGACTGTTATGAATTAACCCCAGCTGCCAGCTAAGCCCCATGCAACTATTCACTCACTTCCCTGCCACAGGGATTGGGAAGAGAATTGGAAAAGTGAGAAAACTCATGGGTTGAGATAAAAACAGTTTAATAGGAAAAGCAAAAGGCACACACACACAAGCAGAATAAAACCCAAGGAGTTAAATCAGTGCATCCCATGGGCAGGCAGTTTTCAGCTGTCTCCAGAACAGGGCCTCATCACACATAATGGTGACATGGGAAGGCAAACACCATTGTTCCAAATGTCGCTCTCTTCCTCCTTCTTCCTCTTACTTCATGTGCTGATGTTCGAACCGTGTCTCGTCCCAGCCTCCTGTGCACCCCCAGTCTCCTCACCATCATGACAGTGTCAAAAGCAAAAAAGGCCTTGGCTCTGCATAAGCCCTGCTCAGCAATAACAAAAGCGGCTCTATTTTATCAACCCTGTGTTCAGCACAAATCCAACACATAGTCCCACACCAACCACCATGAAGAAAATTAACTCTATTCCAGACAAAATTACATGATGACTATAGACTTCTTTTTCTCTTGTTTTCTTTCTTTTTTCTTTAATTAATGCTCTTTCATCAGGAACATAAGCAAGAGTAAGAATAATTTAGGATAGGAGGATAATTTGAGAGAAAGGTGTAAGGATAAACAAGGCTTGCATCTGCTAGGTGCAAAATGACAGATGTAAATGAGTATGATGAAGTTCATCTGGACACAGTATGTCCTCACCATCTTCTACATTCCCTGCCCTGACATCTTAATTCTTTTCTAATTGCATTGCATTTCAGAATCATCTTGCATTCCCAGTGCTTGCTTCTCCATTTACAAGTGAGTTGACACCACACCAAGCAGAGTGGTTGGAGCTAAGTGTGTATTATTGCAGCTATTATTACTGGGTAATTGGGGACTGTTATAATGGTAATGTAATGTAATGGTAATATTCTAAGAGACACTGATCAAATCTCCAGATTTCAGGCATGCATTTTTCTATGCTCTACTACCAGCTGGTTAGTCTGTTACATGCTAAGAATCAAGCACTAATCAAATACATTGGTCTTCAGGTTTCTTCAGAGGGTTGATACCTATTTTTCAAACATCTTTCCGTTCATCTGTTTCCTGCAAATAGTTGCAGACTATGGAACACAATACAGTATGATAAAATACTGTGCTTTTGATTCCAATTCATTCTTTTTTTTTGGTATCTGGGTATAAGGTGAACAAGATTTTATTTTATTTTTCTGTTTTAAGCATGTAGTGTAATGTCTCAGAGGAAGAATAAAAAGATACATTTCACAAATAGACCTTCTCAGTACAGGAACGAGATCTCCAAGAAAAGACATGCCTCAGATGATGCCTCAGTCATTAGCAAAGTAAAATAGTCACTAACTAGTCTCTTGACATACAAGATACACATCTTTCTCTTATGAAATAAAATTGCAGGTTGAGGAAGAAAGGAATGGGAGAAAGTGGTGAGATTTTATTCATTGTTTAAGTAGATTGCATATAGTTATCCCTGAAGTAAGCCTGCAGATATCCCAGCTGTAAGCCTATTTACATGTTTCCCAGGTCAGTATAGAAAGGATTTGTCTTAGCTTGCTTCTTTGTTTTAAGCCAATATAGTCCTTACTGGTGTCAGAGATATAATACTCTTCTTGAAGTCTCCCTCCTTGTAC